TACACCATTTCTAGTATGACTCCTACCTGAATACCATAGTTTAAATCCTAAACTATCAATTTCCTTAGCCTTATCTCCAACTCATTTAGTTTCCTGAATGCATAAAATATTTAATTTCCTATGAATCATAATATCTATTAATTCCATTAATTTTCCTGTAAGGGAACCTATATTCCAAGTTCCTATCCTAATTTTAGTTTCATGGACTAGCTTCTTTGCCCACATCCGTCCTTGATGTGGGAACCCTTGCCTATTTAACACTGCACCCGGGCGCCGGTGCAGCGGCCCTTGCACACTTGTCACTGTATTCAGGCCATACAGCGCGTCGCTTCCAGGGGACACCCTAGCATTAACACAATTTCTTAAAGGATTCATGTCATTATTGTTCGACAAGTTTTACGCTGGCTGTCGACTACCTAACGCAACCCTCCATGTTTCTCATCCAGGACTTGGGACCTGGCAACGGCAGGCTCTCCCTATCGCAGTCCAGCGGTCCCGAAGCCCTCTCGAGTTCATCCTGTCTTGAGATCTCGCCGGCGTGATAAACTCGTTCACCGGATCCGGATCCCAGCGAGCCCCATCATCTTCCTCCTCCACCGCCGTCTCCTTTGACTCCTACCAATTCGACTTTGGCATCGGATCCGGCGGCTCCTCATCCGCTCGCCCCCTCAAGGACCAGAAGCTCAACCCGAACGCTGTCTCATCAAATCCCATCTTTTCCTCCTTAAAGCCTACCACTCCATCCTGGACCCCCTCGCCGGCGACAAGGCCGTCGTGGCCCACCAACCGGCGACCGCCGACCGATCTGGCCTTCTGAATCCTTCTCCTTCCATGACAGGTGACATATTTGGGCGAAGTTGGTCTTCTACGACATCTTCAACCTCCAAGCTCGGCATCCAAGACAAGAACCCTAACCTGTTCAGCGATTTAGTCGGATCTGCAATCGGGCAGGGCCGCTCATCCCAGAACGTTCCCCTCAAATCAGCCCCGCCGAAAAATCCCTCCTTTTCTATGGCCGATCTGAAGAGCTCCGTCCCAAAAACAAATAACCCTAGCTCCAATTCAACGGGAAACTTCTCCTCCTTCATTAAATCTGGCCCTGCAATTGGAACTCCGATAAAATCGGCTCCTGCTACCGCTTCGAACTCTAAACAGAATCCCTTTGGTTCATTGATGGACTTTACATCGAAGCCCTCATCGAACGTGCCTTTGTCTACAGTGAAATCCTCCGGAAGTGGTGGTGGTGAGGGTGCTTATGGTGCTTTCCTGAATGCCCCGACGGCTCAAAAGCCTCAACAGGGATAGTTTGCTGATGTGATAAAATGGCTTTCTTGGGCTTTTGTGCTGTTGGAGAAATCTGGGAACGCTGCTTCTTCCGATGAGGTTTTGATTTGCAGAGCTTCTTGTTACAAAGAAGTTGGTGAATATAAGAAAGCCATTGCTGATTGCTCAAAGGTGCTGGATCATGACAGCACTAACATCTCTGTGCTCATACAACGAGCTCTTCTTTATGAGAGCTCTGAAAAATACAGGCTTGGTGCTGAGGATTTGAGGGCAGTTCTCAAGGTCGATCCTGGCAATAGAATTGCAAGGAGTACTATTCACCGACTGAATCAATTTGCCGACTAACTGAAGAGGTTTTTCCAAGAACAAAATATCAAAGAAGAGAAAATAAAAGGAGACCTAGAAGAAATTGAATAAGAGAAAATCTCAGTGGCACTGTGCCGCCATAATATGAAAAAAAGGAAAGATGATATAGCAATTATTGCATAAAAAGAAATAAGTAAATAACTATAAAAGAAAACTGAAACAAAAGTAAAATCAAATTAACATTGTTTAACTTAATTGACATTTATATCAAACAAAATGGACAAGCAAGAACAAAAAAAACGGATCAATAAATTGACCATGATTAAAAGGTACTTACCTATGGTTCTTACTTTAAAACAAAGGCACTAATGAAGAACTTCAAAAAGCTCCCTTCTAAATTGAAAGGTGCTTGCAAAGGTTCACGGTGCTCAATGGGCGCCTTATCTTACCTATCTGCTCGGAGCCAAAGCACTCGAGACTCAATAAATGTGCATGACATGCAATTTAGTATCCTTACATAAAGCCATGCACACAAGAATAATTGCAAAATGAGACAACCAATTAAGAAGCATGCACAAATCATAAATAACATCATCACACAATCACAATATGTCACAGCTAACCTTCCCAAGAAGCATTGTATCTAAGCAAAGTTACCACTTGCATGAGAAGTTTCCAAGGCATCAGACAACATTGCAGCTACCTATGTAAGATCATTACAACTCAAATCTCCTAATTAATTCATCCAACTGACCATTGCTATTAATTTCTACAAGTTGTTGACTATTGTCAATCTACCTTGATTCAACAATCTGGAAGAAGCAATAGTTATTGATCAATGGACATTTGGATGAATAAGTAAGAAGATTTGAATTGCAATGATCTTGCATGGGTAGTTGCAATGTCATGCTACCTATTTTCAACCGCACCCTCCATTCTCCAGCAGGAACATTAGAAACTAAGCTCTAAACAAGCCAAACACAAGAAAATTTAACACAAGCCCAATTGGTGTAGAACTCAATGCAACCTCAAAGGAAGATAAAACATATTAGAATGAAGTTTGAAGAGACCTGCACTCAATAATAATACTTATTTACATCACTAAAAGGCTCCGAAATTTCCTGGAATGCAGAATATGAATCAGACTTCTCAATTAGTAGGTCCGTAATGACGAATTCTATTAATCATAGGTAAAAATGACAAAAAACTATAGAAAGGTATATGCGTGATGCAAACTCAGTATCATAACTGCAAATGCAACAGCACATAATAATCACACAAATTGGGAAATTCAGGAATCATTCCACAAAACCAACAAATTTCAGGGGTTGTTTAGTTTGTTGTAATATATAGAAATAAAGTGGAAACATACATTTCATTCATTCGGTTTAATGTAAGGGTAGCCACATTTACTATAAATTAGCTCAATGCTGAGTCTGCCAAAGCCCCTACATTTTCACTGCGCAGCTTGTTTTTACTTTTATTATTTTTTTAATACTACGAACTATCATTGGCCACCAAAAAACCTTTACCATTCTCACTAAATACCATAAATTTTAATTTATAAACTCGTGATCATAAATTTCACAGAAAAATTCCTAAAATGCAAAGTGGCAATCCAGAAATAAAAACCACAATCCCTACCTGCACCAGAATAGAATTCAACCGCCCTCCTCCTCCTCCAAGGCAGCACCCATGGCTAGCAGTGATATCTTCAAACATCACCACAAGCTTGTAACTTTCTCTACCATCCTCTAGAAATATCTCCATCTTCTTCCTCTCAGGCATGAACTCCAGCACGACCCCCTCCCACGAAGTGAAGACCTCCATCTGCCCCTCGCCCAAGATTCCGGCGTGGAGAATTCCTCCACTGATGCGGTTGCTTGCATCAACAGCCCTTGGGAGGATGTCTTCAGGCGAGGGAAAGACAGCAAGATTGGAGCGCTGGAATACTGGAAGCAGGCCTTTGGAGTAGAGGAAGCAGGCGTTCTCCGCGGCGGCCAGGCACTTGAACTGGACTCGGCCGAAGCCCAGAGACATCCAGTTCCTGTGAGCGGACGCGATCTCGCAGGCGAAAACCGGGCCGACGACGGACTCGAAGAAGCTCAGCAACTCCTCCGCGATTGCTGTGCGGGGAATGTTGGAGACGCGGACTGTCAATCGAGGAACGCCCATCAGGAAAGCAGCCGGATAACAGGAGGTCGGAGGGTTAGGGTTTTGGGCAGCATGGGGAAGATGAATTATAAATTTAAAATTTTAAAGCGCTTTAAAATTTTAGCTAGTTGGATTGTGCACGTTGTTTTATATCTAAATTTGTATTAAATGAAAATCGGATCGGATCTGTCGGTTCAACTGGTTTAATCGTGAACCGGTTTTATGACCGGTTCAGTCCTAATGAAAAATTGGTCTAGTATCAAATCGATCAAAATTAGTTTGAACCGCCGGTTCAACCGGGCGACCGTTGAATCGGACCGATTCTTAAGAACCGGTCGGTTCAACTAATAAAATATTTAAATAATTTAATTTAATATAAATTGTTTAATTAAATATTAAATTAATTTAAATATCATATATTTTTTTTGACAATATAATTCCAAAAATTTTATGTGTAATATATATTAAATATAAATAAACTTACTCACATGATGTCATAATACCATGTGAGATCTTAATCCATGGATATAAGAAAAGGTATATAAACAACACAACATAAAACTCCTAAATGTTGTAACACTAAACACCTAGTAGTTTTTAGTTTCAACTTTCAACAATGTATGCATGAGACTTGTTGAATGAGAGTTTGTTGGAAAAATTTTGTGTAAAATATTCAAATAAAAAATCATCATAATAATTTTTAAACTTCTTAAATTTATAATTATTCAAATAAAAATAATTATTTGTAATTTTTAAAGTTCTAAATTTTTTTTCTAAATGTCAAATTAAATGATAGAAAAATAAAAAATCTTAAAAATAATATTGTATGACTTTATAAATATAGTTTTATAATATAAAATTTATATATAATTTATATATGTAAATTATGCTTAAATATATAACATAAAGCAATTATTTATATCAAATATATATATTTATATATAAACTAAATTTAAAATTGAAAATTGTAATTTGCATTAGAAAATAAAGGGATACAAGCAACTAAAGATAGTAATCACATTCCTTCTTCAACAAGTTAAATAAAGAAGAAGGAATGCATTTATCAAAAAAGCAATCAAAATTAAAACTACTATCTATAGCTAAAGTAGCACAACAATCTGCTACTTTATTACAATTTCTAGAAATCAAATGAAAGATAGCATTATTAAAATCAATAAGGAAAATAATGTCTTTATTCCAATCTTCAAATTGCTGCCATTTTATCTTCTTCAAGGAATCATGAAGCCACTTGATCATATTACGGTTATCTCCTTCAATAATTACTCCCTTGTATTGGAACATCCATCGTTGCAAGTGTTCTATAAGTAAAAAAACATCATGTAGTTCAAGAGACGCAATATCCCAATGCTTCAACTGATTGCCAAAACCACAAAGGAAACGCCCCTTATGATCTCTAGTAATAATTCTAAGACCTGCATTATATGATTCCTTCATTGTAGCATCCATATATATCTTTATCCAATCTAGGGGAGGAGGATGACAAATATCAACAAACTCCAATCGGAGATCAGCATCCCAGTTTCCTATAATTGGATTAATTGACAGCTGTATAATGGAACTTAATACATTTGAAGCCAAAAAATTAACATATAAAGTGATCATTCCAAGCTTTATTTGATTTCTTCTTTTTTATGAGAAGTAAACAGTTGTAAAGTAAAGTTTCACTATGTTCAAGTTGACTATAGACAATATTTTCAACTCATCTAAACACTTAGAGTAGGAATCAAATATAGAAACTTGAAATCCCCATTAACGCGGCTTATACACAATCTGAAGCAGCTAACTGCATAAAACAGCAACATGCTCATGGTTTTCCACATCATTACAACCACACAGACATCTACTTGATTGCAGTAAGTTTCTATAATTCAAAAAGTTGTTAGTAGGGAGAGCAATCTTACATAACCTACACCAAAATAGATCAACTTTAGGCAGTAATTTGAATTTCCTGAAATAATTCAATGTCTAATTAGAGTTGTCTTTCATCGCTCTCAGGTTTTCGTGATCTTCTATCCAGGCTTCAAACGAAAGAGTAGTAATTGATTTACTCAAATGTTGTTTAATAAGTTCCATGCTATCTTCATTCAAATTCGGAGATAATTTGATTAATTTGATAACCGATATCAAGTCTTCATTAAAACAGTTATTCATTTCCAAACATTTTTAGTTGCCATCCTCAGAAATAAACTTGTGGACCGATTCATTGTGAAGCTCATGACAATTAACTTAAGTAGGCCATTTGTTAAGAGTTTTATGAAAGTTCTAAGAATCATTCATTATATTCACTTTGATACCATTCACCAACTTCAATATAACAACATTTTTTAAATACTTTGCTCCATCCACCAAAATTTTCCAAGTTGGAGAATTCCCTCTTCTAACCATACCACTCCACACATCACTTCCATATTTAGATATGATAGCACGATTACACGATGAATAAGGATTTTGAATAAATCTCCAAGTCAGTCTTGACCTCAAAGGTCCAACTTTAGTAACTGAAGAGTGAAGGCCCAATCCACCAAGCAACTTTGGTTTACAAAGATCTTCCTAAGATACATAGTGTAAGCCTTTCCTATCTTTATCTTTATGCCATAAGAAATCTCTACACATTTTATCCAGCTCATACAAAATTCTTTTAGAAACCAAAGAATGTGTAGATAAAAATATTGGTAGTGAAAGAAAAGAACTTTTGATCAGAAGAACTCTTCTTGCCAAAGAAAGATATCTACACCCTCATGCATTTATCCTTTCCAAAGCATGGTCTAAAATAATTTTGAAATCATAGTTCATAAGCCTTCTCAATGCCATCTTCACTCCCAAGTATTGCATCTCTTTCACTATCTTGAACCTCAACTTCATAGTAATTCTCTTCTTACACCTTATCTTCATTGAGTTCCTAAATATGATTTGAGATTTCATGTTATTTACTTTGTGACATGTCCACCCACAAAAATCCTTCAAGATTTTCTTCAAACTAAGAGCTGATCTCATGGAAGCATTAGAGAATACCAAAACATCATCAGCATATAATAAATGTGTAATTTTATCAGATTTAGGGGATACTTTAATACCCAACTCAGCACCCCTTTGATAAATAGCATTAGAAAGCAGTTGGAGCATAGAATATACAAATACAGGGATAACGGGCAACCTTGCCTAAATCCACTTTTAGCTTCTATCCAATCCATTCTCCTCCCATTAATGAGTATAGAAAACCTCACCTTTTGAACACATTTCATAATAAGCATAATGAGCCTTGGAGGAAACCCAAACCACTTCAAAGATTTTTCTGTTGTGGATCTATGGTTTATTATTTTGATGATAGCAAACATTCTTTTTTCTTTATGATTGCCTTATCTACTGACATTTCAGGTTCACAAGATCAGACTGCATTTTGAAATCAGCTCAAGATTGGGTAGACTAGGTCTGAGTCAGTTTGTACCCTTTTCCTTCTTGAGTCTATTATATTTGGTGTGGCTCCTAATGCTTTGTAACATAGAAGAGTTTCAAACTGTTCCCTAGAGTTTACTGTTTTTGGTAACATCGTCCTGAACAATATTTATATCGGCCGGGACAATCTGTTTAAAAGAAGAAACCCTAATTAGGGCTTCCTCATTAAAGCAACCGTCATTATACAAAACACATCGTCCTGGACGATTTTGTATCGGCCAGGACGATAGGCTCAAAACATAAAGAATCTGTCGCCAGATCTATTTAAGAATTACTTATTTTTAGACATCAGCCTGAATTCACCTCTCTTTTAATTAGCTTTGGGCCAGTTCTATAGGGCTTAACATCCCTAACGAACTTTCAAGTGGTATCAGAGCGGGATTCATAAAAAACTAAGTTTGAAAACTTTTTGAATTTTGATCAATGGCTAATTTTTCAAATCGTACTATTGCGGAAGGTTATTTAATCACGAGACCACATTTATTTGAAAATATTACATTTGATTTTTAGAAAACTCGCATGTCTACATTTTTGCAATCAATTGATTTCCAAATGTGACATATGATTTTAACTGGTTATTCTTCACTATCATGAGTTTTAGATGGAATTAAAGCTGATATTCCTTTTGATCAATGGAATAGGGAAGAACACTTAAATGCTCAATTGAATGCAAAATCTTTAAATTGCTTTTTTTGTGCTTTGAATTTTGAAGATTTTTTGTTAGTATCCACATGCACTACTGGTAAGGAAGTTTGGGATAAACTACATACCATATATAAAAGCACGAATGAAATCAAGCAATCAAAGTTGAATATTTTACTACATGATTTTAAACTTTTTTCCATGAAACCTTATGAGACGATCTTAGACATGTATACAAGATTTATTCAAATTGTAACATCATTGCATGTATTAGGAAAATAATTTTCAAATTTGAAAAGTTAACAAAATTCTTCAATGTCTACTGGATAAATTTGATTCTAAAGTTGTTGCTATTTATGAATCAAAAGATTTGAATGAATATTCTATTGATAATTTGATTGGCTCACTCATTGCCTACGAACAATGTTTGGGTCAAAGACTTTTGGATGCAGGTGACATGATTGTTCTAAAAACTGTAAATACAAAAAAAAAGATTGCTTAGTTGGTGACGAGTGCAACGACTTGTCAAGCAAATCACAAAGCTCACCAAAGCATAAGCATCAACAAAAGTGGAAAAAAGGTAAAAATGGTAAGGATGTTCATATTCCTTCTAACGTTATTTGCTTTCGATGTAGGAAGCCTGGATATAAGAAAAATCAGTGCCTTAATATAAGAATTCTTCCTAAGAAAGAAAAGTGTAAGGCAAAGCTAATCTTTAACTGGGGAAATAATGAAAAGCAAAAAATCTCCTGGGCAGACTTGATTTCTGAAGCATCGGACCAGGAAAGAGATAATGGTTAAAAGCTTTGTTTTTGTTTTTGTGTTGTTTTTATTTTTTGTTATTTTCAGTATTTCTTTTTTTATTTTTGATTTTATTTTGTGTTTTTGTTTTTGTTTATTCTTTGTTTTTTTTACTTGTTTCGTGGAATTTTTCTTTGACCAACACACATTCATTTTTCTAAAAATGAAAAATCTATTTCGTATTTTTTTCTTA